ATGTGTTACAGAGTAGAACTAAGCTCCATAGGATTTTCTTGGATGTAATCTTTACGGAAGCAGACCACCAGGCCTTTCTTCCACAGAGCCCCTGAGTGGGTTCAAACTGCCAACCTCACAGTAGCTGAGCCAGGGACTGTAAAAAGTGCCCAGAGCATGTTTATTAAACAAACAGTATCTTCCCTCTATCACTTTAATTACTCTGAGGTTTTGCATAATTGCACGCCCAGCCAAGGCAGAGATGAAAGTAAATGGACAGAAAATGTTCCTCTTAGATTTTACCCCATGGAGAGATATAGTGTCCCACCCTCTAATATCTCTGCAGTCAGGCTCCACGAAGTGGAACTGCAGCAATTGTGATTAGGCAGAAGTCTAGAGTTGCTGGAGATTAACCAAGGGAAGCTTTTGGTGTGCATCCAAAATGACCTTTGTGTGTATGTATGTGTGTGTGTGTGTGTGTGCGCGTGTGTGGTAAAAATATATATAACATAACATTCACCAAAACATTTTTTTGCATGTACAGTTCAGTGACATTGATTACATTAATCATTTTGTGAAACCATCACCACTATCCGGTGCTAAATTTCCCATCACCATAAACAGAAACTCAATGCTTCCTAAACAGTAACTCCCCCTTTCTCACTTCCTCCCACTTCTGGTAACCCATGGCCTCCCTGTGGATTCTGACTCATAGTGACCCTATAGTACAGAGCAGAACTGCCCTGTAGGGTTCCCAAGGCTGTAATCTTTACGGAAATAGACTGGCACATCTTTCTCCTGTGGAGCAGCTGGTGGGTTCAAACCTCTGACCTTTCAGCTAGCAGTCAAGCACTTAACGATTGTGCCACCAGGGCTCCTTCCCCTTCCCTGATAACTGCTAATAAACTTTGATCTCTATGCATTTGCCTATTCTAGATATTTCATGTAAGTAGAGCCCTCCAATATTTGTCCTTTTATGATTGACTTATTTCACTCAGCGTAATGTTTCAAGGTTCATCCATGTTGTCGCATGTATCAGGACTTCATTTCTCTTTATGGCTGAGTAATATTCCATTGTATGGATGTGGTACACAAAATGACCTTAGTATCTTTTCAACTGAGAAAAGCAGCCCACTAGTAACTGGGCTACATTTAAACTCATTAGAGTTAATTGCTT